ATGCTTTAGTTGCATTATTTCTCATTGATTCCTCAGAATCCTATGAGATAGGCTCCTCATTTCTCGTTCTGGGAAAAATGGATATGTATGAGGAGAGATTTTTTTAATGTTTACTTACTTACTTTGAGAGAGAAAGAGTGTGTACATGAGCATGATCAGGGGAGGGGCAGAGAGAGAGAGAATCCCAAGCAGGCAGAGCCTGATGTGGGGCTCTATCTCATGAACCGTGAGATCATGACCTGAGCAGAAATCAAGAGTCGGACCCTTAACCGACTGAACCACCCAGGCGCCTTGAGGAGAGATTTTTAACAAGAGCACCCACACATTCACTCCCTGACCATGCTGAGCCCATGTTTGCTCAGCATCCTAGAGTGCCAGGTAGAATGCTAACATTAATGCTGTCCTACTTCCCCTATGGACATGCAGTTGTATAGGCAGCAGAGCAGAAAGTGTATTTATTTGATGCCCCTCGTCTACTGTTGAACACTCAAACTGATTTGTAAAAACGTGTTGCATTTTTCACAGTAGCCTCTTTTTTTTTTAATTTTCTTAATGTTTTTATTATTTATTTTTGAGAGAGACAGACAGAGCACGAGCAGGGGAGGGGCAGAGACAGAAGGAAGCAGAATCTGAAGCAGGCTCCAGGCTCTGAGCTGAGGCTCTGACCTGAGGCTCGAACCTCGAGATCATGACCTGAGCCGAAGTTGGATGCTTAACCAACTGAGCCACCCAGGCGCCCCCATAGTAGCCCTCTTTAAGTAACTGGCTCTGTGTGGCACAATGTGTTTCACACCCACTCTGCCTGATATCGCCATTAATTAACATCATTCATTAACGCCAGAGCACTGCTCTATTCAAAACCAGTTAGAGGCCCGCTGTTGTAAAAATGAAGGGTAAAGAAGATGGGGGAGGGCATTTCTCCTCTTGTCCTGTAATAGCCAATACCTGAGAAATCTTCCACTGCTCCCCGGCTCCAGACTGGCAGTGTGCTTTTTGAAAGGATCACAGGAAAACTGAAGGGTTAACTGCAAAGTCAAGAATTGGAGACATTAACACGCTTGTGTGGACATTGTATTAAGAAAAACATTGGAAGGTGACACGGAAAGAAAATTGTCCCGCAAGGGAAATGTACTGCTGAACTCTGAGTGGAAAGTGTTTTTAATACAACTTCAGTCCTGTGTTTGTGCAGTTTTAGTTGTGAAGGGTGGTGGCCAAGATGAAGAATAAAGCTTCCCTGAAACCAGATGAGAATCTAACCACGACAAAAATAGAGTCCTGACAGCTCGCTCTCCAGAATGTAAATAAGCAGAATATTTGTGTCATAGAGAGTAGTGTAAGCAAAACAGGATCCTCCGCCTTTTGTGATAGAGAGATGCTAAAACAGCCATCGATAGGACAGCCCTTCCTTCTGTGGAAGTCAAAGGAGCAGGTTAAAATTTTATAGCAGTCTAGCGGCGCCTGGGTGGCTCGATTGGTTGAGCGTCCAGACTCTTGATTTCGGCTCAGGTCATGATCCCAGGGCCGTGGGATTGAGCTCTGCATTGGGCTCCATGCCTGCTTGAGATTCTCTCTCTCTCCCTCTCTCCTTCTGCCCCTCCCCCACCTCTGTGCTCATGCACATGCTCACTCTCTCTCTCTAAAATTAAATGAATAAGGGAGGGGCGCCTGGGTGTCTCAGTCGGTTAAGCATCCAACTTCAGATCAGGAGTTTGTGAGTTCGAGCTCCGTGTCGGGCTCTGTGCCGACAGCTCAGAGCCTGGAGCCTGCTTCAGAGTCTGTGTCTCCCTCTCTCTGCCCCTCCACTCCTCATGCCCTGCCCCTCTCTCTCAAAAAAAAAACATTAAAAAATTTTTTTAATTAAAAAAATAGTAAATAAAATTATATCGCAGTCTAATGTATTCTTGTTTGGAAAGATCTCCAAGAAATACTTGAAGGATGTGGAACAACACAGACTGATCTCTTCTGTGTACAGATGTTTGAATATGGACAGTTGTGGGTTTATACATGCATGGAAAGAGAACCGGAAAGGTACACATGAAAACACCTACAGTGGGAGAAGGGAATGGAAATTGAAGAGGAAAGGGGGATTTTTGTGCATTGACTTTACGTGTTTTCTGTCTTTAAATTTACACACACGTGCTCACATGTAATTAAGAGAACTATATAAAGAGGGAAAGCAAAGATTTAAGGTCTCGGTGAAGATATGTAGTGGTTAAGGCATAGCTTCTGGAGTAAAACTGCCAGGGTTTGAATCCCATGTCCGTTCCTCTGGTTGTAGCTCCTTCCACAGAATATTTCACTTCTGTGCCTCCTTTTACACTGGAGAACAGGTTTAATCGTACTTCTGTCATATGGTTGTTACAAGGATGAGATGAGTAACGCAGGGGAGAGCGTATGGATCACGTCCTGACGTGCAGTACACATTCGGCATATGTTAGTCATTTTAAACCAAAATACTCCGACAACTTCTAGCTTTAATCAATTCTTTGTGCAAACTTTGTTTACAATGTTTCTAGTGACAGCTTTACGAATCACAATATATTTTCTCCAAGTTTGGTTGTAGTTGTTAATGATACTGTCACATCCTTAGCCCACCGGTAACCTCAAGAGGAAGAGTAACAAAACAAATGGAATTTTCTTGTTTTATGTGGAGTGTCATACTTCCTGTTTGTGGAATTCTCCGGACTTTGCTTCCTTGACCGTGTAGTCTTACATACATAATAAACTAAAGAAATGGGACTAATGAGGTTTTTCTCTCTTCCTTAGGAAGACTATGATCGTCTGAGGCCTTTATCTTATCCAATGACCGATGTCTTCCTTATATGCTTCTCTGTGGTAAATCCAGCCTCGTTTCAAAATGTGAAAGAGGAGTGGGTACCCGAACTTAAGGAATATGCACCAAACGTACCCTTTTTATTAATAGGAACTCAGGTATGTCTGCTTTGATTTTACCCATTGAAGAAGAGTCTCTGGCATATCTTGTGGGGTTGCTCTCAAATGGTACTAAAGTTTAGCCAATGATAATGCACGTTGAATCTCAGCTGCAAGTTATAATACATTCTATTTATTGTAGAAAAATAAGAATTTGGGAAAAGTAGTGCCAAAGGAAAGCAATCATACTAGTTGGGGTTTTAGAAGTGAAGTTCTCTTTTTTACTCTCTTCTTGATATGTGGGGATTAAATGGGACTACAGGCTTTATCTTTAAAGACTTGTAACATTATGGGACATATTGAACTTTCTTGATTAGATTGATCTCCGAGATGACCCCAAAACTTTAGCAAGACTGAATGATATGAAAGAAAAGCCCATTTGTGTGGAACAAGGACAGAAACTAGCAAAAGAGGTAATAGAACCTTCACGGAATTTAAAAATGAATGTAAGGGGCGCCCGGGTGTCTCAGTGAGTTGAGCGTCTGACTTCGGCTCAGGTCACGATCTCACAGCTCGTGAGTTCAAGTCCCACATCGGGCTCTGTGCTGACAGCTCGGAGCCTGGAGCCTGCTTCAGAGTCTGTGTCTCCCTCTCTCTCTGCCCCTGCCCCACTTGCTCTGTCTCTGTCTCTCTCAAAAATAAAAACAAAAACAAAAAAATAAAAATAAAAGTGAATGTAAGACAAGCTTCGGTAATGATAGAAGCTAACATTGTGCGTTTGCTGTATGCCAGGCACTGTGCTGAGTGCTTTACATGCATTATCTCATGTAATCCTTGCATCTCCTCGGGTAGGTCTGACCAGTTCCCTATTTACAGAAGGGAAAATGGGTGTGGCGATGTCAGATAACTTGTCCAGTCCCATAGCTAATAAATGGCGGAGCTGGAGTGCAGGGAAGGCCTGATTGCAGAGCCCAGGCTCTTACACCTGCACGACGCTGCCAGCAGTATTTTCTTAGTAAGTCACGTGTAGAAAGAGGCATCAAAAAAAGCCCTTTTTAATCACTTAAACATTTGTACTGTGCCAACGCAGGCTCTGTCTTTGGCTAAGACGCATGGAGTAAGTGCGTGTGGTGTGGCACAGGAGGAGTTTAAATCTGCAGTTAAAAGCAAAAATGTATGACTAGGTTTGAAAAGAAGCGTGTTGAATTTTCTTCCACCCTTTTATGAAAGATAGAGAACATTCGCATTCTAAAAAATATACAACTGTGTTGTGCACAATAACTTTTAACTTCTATTCTTCCTCTCCCCGAAGCTAGGCCTACTTTTTTCTCTGTTTGGCCCTAACATTATTGGATTCTATTTTTCAGATGTGACTTTAATAGGTCTTTTGTGGAAACAGAATCTAATAAAGTCTTTTTAAATGTACTATCAGGAGGCAGAAGAAAGCAAGAAAACTTTTTGGAGGACAGTTTTTCCTAAAACAAAAAGACAGATAGCTTCACTGACAAATTGGTTTAGACATTCAGTGCTTGGCATATGGTAGGTAACCAGTAAATACTTGATGCAATAAATTTTCATAGAATAAGTGTGGAAGGATATATGCTTACTTTTGAAGTTAGCTATTGCTGGGTTTTACGACTATGAATGATTTCATTCTTTCTGCACGGCTGTGTTTTATCATTTTCCTTATAATGGTGTGTTGCATCATACCAAATGTGTAAGAAAGATTTTATATGTTTGTGGTGTTTTTTCCTCTTTCCCAGATAGGAGCATGCTGTTATGTGGAATGTTCGGCTTTAACCCAGAAGGGACTGAAGACTGTTTTTGATGAGGCTATCATAGCCATTTTAACTCCAAAGAAACACACGGTAAAAAAAAGAATAGGATCAAGATGTATAAACTGTTGTTTGATTACGTGAGAAACATCTTCAGTGGCCAAGGAAACTGTCCATTTCTCTCAAAAAGCATATGAATGCTACAGCTATACCCAGACATCTGATAATGAAGCGGTTTAAAACTTGAAAGAAAAAAAAAACCCCAAAAAACCCTGTCCTCAGAATTCTATAAAATTCATTAAGAATGTTTCTTAAATAAGGTCCAAGAAGCAGCAAACAGCATCTGAAGCCACAATCTATTATAAATACTTTATTTCAACTAGAAGGTACAATCTCTCAGGGGTTTCATAGTTTAAAAAGCTACAATCACATCATGTTATAACTACATAAAAACAAACAAAAACAAAAAAACACAACAGTGCTGTAAATGGAACTGCCTGGCTTAGACCATATACATTTCTGCACAGTCTTTATGGAATCTGCACAAAGAAATTATCTTCTCCCTTTGCTCCAATTAATTGTTCTTGTATGTAAGTTGCTTTCTATTCCAGTATATCCAGAGTGGTGAAATCACAAGGCCAGCCACGTAGCCAAAGGTCGCTCCAAGCGTACAGGAGATGGGCCATACCTGAGGAGAGAATGTATGAGATCAAAAAAGAACAACTGTTTTATTATTACTTGAGCACAAGTGTAACCTAAATATTTCTATATTAAAGCTTAATGTGCTTTCTTAAAGAATGCCAAAAGTGTAATAAGGTCATAACTGCATTTATCACGAACACTAAAAATGTACACATTTTTATGTGCATTCAGCTGTAACAAGGCATCTGGCGACTGTAGATTTAGTTTGATGCTCCCCAAACTGCATGAGATACGTCCTAAAATTACAAATTAAAATTCTGGGTCAGACTTTGTTATAATCCTGGACTCGATATAGCTGTCTGAAGTAGCTGGCAATTTTGTTCTTTAATTTCCACCTTGGCTTATATATACAATGAAACGAGAAGTGTATGTTGACCAAAGTACAAGAAAGTTGAATCTGTGCTAAAGAGAACAGACCTAGAATTCAAGCATGTTACATGGAATTTATAACAAAGCAACTGCTTCCATAATAAAACTGATGTCACCTTTCAGACACAGGTATTGGAACCATAGCAGGAGTTCTAGAGCCACAACTTCAGTACACACCTAGAGCGTCAGTTAAATACTGGCTTCTAAATACCTATCTTCTCCAGCCATGTTATGTTCCGCACTATTACATCAAGCAAGCCAGAAGTGTAAATAATGTTGATTTCTTTCATCCGCAAGCAGTGCATGCCGGTCCCTAGGTGAAAGGCCCTGCTTTAAAAAAAATTATGCTCATCTGAGAAGCTTACTTGGTATACTGGAGCCATTTCTAATCTTTCTCTGGGGGATCAGGCCATAGAACTGTGTTAGAGGTGAACCATCTTAATTACTAGTTCTATAACCTAATTAAGCTTTCTTGTTTGGTCTGCTGTGGATCCGCCTTGTTCCAAGTGCCATGCAACAGACAATAGTGTTAGACAAAAAGTTTCCGTGTGAACAAATTAATGCAGTTCAGAGAAGCATAATCTAACCCATAAAATTTTCTCCAGTCTTTCCTACATTTAAACTTGCTGTTGACTAAATTATGATTTATTTATGTCTTTGGTGAGCTTCTGTTAATTTCCATGACTTGAGCTAATAGCTGTGTCTATTGCACAGATTCGGTAATGGAACACTAAACTTTTATACTTGAAAATGACAGCCTTAAATGCTCATATCAGTCACAAATCTAGGATGTACTGTCTTGTATGTGAGCTTTGTAGAGATTTTTAAAAATATAAGCATCATCTTCCCCATTGAAGAGTGGAGAGTCTACTGGATAACTAGTCAGGAACTTTCTTTCTGAACTGGACAGTGGATGTCTTCCTTCTCCCAAGAAGTGATGGTTCACATTAAGTACCATGGCCTTATGTATGCTCAAATGGAATCCTTATGTACTTTCTCACTTAATTTGGGTCTATTAATTATTAGCTATTTTTAGAACTGAAAAGAATTGCATAAATCAATTAGTATATGAGTTAAGTTGTCCAACACATGGTATAAAGGAATTAAGACAGTAAAGTATTATACATTTCCAACTTGACTTTGGGGGTTTGATGGGGATTTTTTTTTTTTTTTCTCAAATTCACCTCTGAAACTTTCCACACCTGGGTTTACTAGCCAGTTAAAATTAAAAGCTAGAAATTGTCCTGCCCCAAGAGAAATGGACTAGGAATCTGGAAACACAAACTCTGATGTCACCTCTGTTTCCTGCCTGGGCCTCAGTTTCCTCATCTATAAACATGGGAGGTAGAACGAGAGGATCTCCAACATCTCTCCCACTTATCAACTCTTCTGATTCTCTTCTTTTTTTGGACCTTACCTTTTCAGCTGCACATTCTTAAGATGGTAAAAATCCTGTACATAGATTATTAGAACTCTAAGCAAAGATGATTGTATCATCTGAACCTGAGGTGCCTTAGGTACTCTATTGACCTTGATGGGGTTTGGAGTTTCCCATTGCTTATTAAGAGCCTTTTCATTGCTTTGGTTCTTTAGGATTTCTTTTTGCACTCAATCCTTCCTGTCACTTTAACTAAAAACCAAAGATTTGTTTTCTATTCATAAGCAGATTATAGAAAAATTGCCTTATTTTCAGAAGCATGTCTTCATTAAAGACTTAAGTTTCAGTAGAAATTGAGACTAATCACTGGAACAACTAGTTCAAAGTAGTCAAATATCTGGGAAATAAAATACTTCAAAAATATCTGACTGACATGAGTTTTGCTAGTTAATGCAAATGCATTGCTTCAAATAAGGTCATGTATGAATGAATTTAAAAGAAACGTACCATTAATTTTTTTTTGCATATAATCAATTCTAAAGTTCTCAAGAGTAATTTTAGGGGCTCCCTGAAATCTTACTTAATACTTTGCTAACTTGTACCTTTTTCTTGTCTCTACAGATACATTTTAGGTTAGCCCATGTTGAATTATCTTATTTCTAATAAGTAGAGCCTGAATTAATGGTTTTTATTGTGAATTAGTTACTTTAGGCATTGCTTCCATTTGATTTCTAATTATTACTTTTAAGTACCAAATTAAATACTGGTTTGTTGGTTGTTGCTTTTTAAGTGATTGTTACTTTAACAGTGTCCCATTTTAACACATGGGGTTATAAATAAAATAATATGCATAGTTTACTATCTATGTAAAGCACTGAACTTCTTACCTTAGTTTTTATTTAACACCCAATGTAAACATTTGGGATAATACTCATTCCTCTGTTTCTCATGCTGTAAGTCTAATCACCAGCCAAGTGTGAGCACCTGCACTTTGTTAAAAAGCGCATTGTCAAAGTGTAGACAGAATAATAATCCCTCGTGAATCCCAGCCAGATTCCAATTTGGGTCACTTCTACTTGAATCACTCTAATTTCAGTATGGCTCTTTGTTTCCAAACATGTACATACACAGTCACACGCACATTCTTTAAACAGCTGCCTACCGCACCTCCGGTGGAATGCCAAAGATGAAATATTAGCTTAAAAGTTTTGTCTAATGAGGGGCGAAGGCTTAGAACACTTGCTATTTATTCAGTTCTCAAGAAATCCAAGCCATCAGCAAGTTAAAATGTTGGACTGGCTTTGAAGACTGTTTGCTAGTGATGGATCAGGTTTTCCTGCTTGACTTTCCTGAAATAAGTAGCCCTTAACTCTAACACATTTTTTTGTAAAGGAGAATTTCTTCATTTAAGGGCAACCTTCCTGATTTTTTATCCCCAGGATAGGGAATGGCAAAAAAGAGCAGCTGAGTGGGAGGCTGCCCACTAAATCACCTTTCCTCTAAAGTCCTCATGATTGAATTTCCTACTAAGCTTCTTACAACTGCTTTAAAAAATTTAAAACTACACAATGGCAACAGATTTCATAATGACTTATCAAACTATCCCAGCTTCATCACGCATTTTCGTACTTTGATCTTGGGGTCTTCCATTTAAAACTGTGTACTTGTCTCACACACAGAGATGCTTCTGAAGTTTAACATTCATGCTACAAGCAGGCTTAAAACAACTGTGGTATCATCTACTGAACAGACAATCCAACCACAATGTTATAGACATTTCTCCAAATTATGGTCATCTGGGATAGCTATATATAATTATCTTGTTTTGTTTAAGGAAAATAGAAAACTCGAAGACATTCATGTAAAGAAAGTCATTCACAAGTGTTTGCCATGAAAATGACCACCTTCTTTTTATCCAGTTTTTTATAAAGTAACAAAATGTTTTAACCACTAAATGGAAGAAAAAAATCCTGTTGCATGACAAAATTTAATGCAAGTGGGTAAAATTATTACAATTAACTGTTAGAAAACCTATTTTTAAAAATGAGTAGCTACATCACATGAACAAAGCATCTTGCTGAGAGTACTACTATTATCGTTTCTCTGAACGAAATGACTTTTTACTGTTTTTCCATCACTTAAACCAAAAAAGGTCAGTGTTCCCTTAAAATACTCAACATTAAGAAAGGCCTATATTACAGGGTCCGGGTACATGATATCAGCAATAAGTTGTGTTAACCTCAGAAATAAAACAATTCCACCCTAATAAGCTAAAAAACAATTTCTCAGTAAGTACATATTTAACTTTGTATGTTTTCTCAGTTAAATCAATATTCTTGCTGGTTGAACGACATTTCAAAATTACACAAGCTTATTTCCACCTGAAGACCACACTGCTCTCTTCTGATCAGGCATTACTGATGTATCTGTATAGTCTTGGGACTTTTCAAAGTATGTTCTAAGTGGTACAGGATGATTTAAGAACTCTAATTTTTGTATTAGACTGAATTTGAATCTTGGCTCTGCCATTTATTAAATATGGAACCCTGTGAAAGTCACCTTACCTTGGTACCTTGGTTTCTCACCTGTGAAGTGAGGAACGCACCTCATCATAAAACCCACCTCACGGGGATTGCTGTAATGAGTAAATGACAGAATGCACTATGTGGTACTTAGCACCATGCCTAAAACAGTATCTGGCACATAGTACATGTGAGCTATAAATTGCTAATAATCTTTTAGTTCATATTCCCAGTAGACACATCTAAGTTGCCATTATAATCTAGAACACCATCATTTCCCCAAATACACAATCTCTGAAGCTGATCCTATTAAAAAAATGCTTCCCAAAATTTTTGAAGTACTTTAAAAATATTTTTTAAAAACTACATCGAACTGAACTCATGTTTCCTTCTTGTCAAACATGATCCACAGGTTTTGTATGTATATGTCATATAATATCAGGGGCTCACAGACCCCCCACCTATGGACTCCTGGTGAAGAATCACTGTATTCGAACCTCACAAGTATTATTAACTGTTCTAGTCAGCCAAAGTAATACAGTGACCCTCTACATCTTGGTTCAGCATTTTAAGGATCAATTTCAGTAACGTAGATGGCATTTGTTATGTGATTTGAGAGTAACTTAAATATATTTTATTATAATCTGCACAATAGTACTTAGGTTCATTTAACACATATTAAATGCAAGTAGATTTTCACCCTTTTCCTGTTGCCAA